CTGCTAGCAAGGCTGCTCAGGGCTGGGTGTGGACTCCCTGTTCAGGCTGTCAATTTAAAGTCCCTCTGTAATGTTCGTTAAGTAGGTGTTTCCAATGTTTGCTTAGGGTATGGGGAGAAACCAAGTTTTTGTTTTTCAAAATTATATAGACAGACACTTAGTAGTTTACTTCTCCTGGACAAAAAAAAAAAAGTCAGTTTTCCAGAAAAGAAACAGCCAAAAAAAAACCTTTACTTTTTTTTTGTAGTCCTTGTACTCTCTTCTGTTTTTGAAGGTAATTTTGTGAACCTGGCAAATTTTAGATTCACATTAAAGTGTTTAAGTTCTGATGGCAAATCCTTCATTCGTGGTGAGCACTGTGATGTTGAGCAGAAGTCAGTGTCAAGAGGATGGAACCTCCGTCTAGTCTCTGCATCTTTGTGTTCCCAGAGTCCAGGTGGAGCCTGGAATTTAGCAAATGAGCAAAAAGTGTTTGTTGAAATATTCTTTTGCTTCTAGAAATTCTACCAATTTAAACTGCGTGTGTACATTCTGAAAATGTTCAAGGGGAATCTAAATAGGTCAGTGCTGCTCTGGTCAAGGGCATGGTCTCCTTCAGGGGACATTGGTTGATGTTTAACTTGAGAAGAGTTAATTAGAGACGCAGATCTCAGTTAACTACTAGCATGTCTCAAATTCATTATGTTGCTTCTTCATCGATTGTTCTTTTGAGGCAAGATTCTGGTGAACCAAACCTTCACCTGTTCTGTTGAAGAACCACTGACCTGTGTACTGCAAACAGTTCAAAAGCCAAACTCCTTAGCTGGATCCTCATTGAAGGCAAAATCTGGGCTTATTTTCTAGATTTGTAAATTTGAGGCATATATAATTTTAAGGCAGAGAAACACGATTTTCAAAATAAAAATTGTATCAACCCTGAAAAGACAGTCAGCAAAGAGAGACCTCCCAAGTGCCCGTTTCTCTCTTTGAAATGTTCCTCCTTCTTCTCACTCTTGCTTGCCCACCTCTCCTTCCTAGTCTAGTGACTTTTATTCATCTTCAAGGTCTGGATCATATATTTCATATATTTGTGAAGCCTTCCTTGGTCCCCTTAGAGAAAAACTGATCATGTCCTTTTGGTAATGTCATAGCACTTTGTTCTTAATTCTATTCCATCAATTACCATAGACAGTTACTTCCTTCTGTGTCCTCTCAGTCCATTCAATTGTGAACTCATCAAGGTCAGTGACCATGTACTACATATCTTTATATCTGTATTTTCAGACACTAAAACATAATGTATTTAATGCTACATATTAATAATGTTTACTGATGAAAGAATGTATGTGTGAATGAAGAGCCTTCTTTTTGGCTCATGGCCTCCCTTCCCTTCTTGCTGGTAAATTTCCACTGTGGTGCAAGAACTCACATGAGGCACGCTCTCCTTGGAGCCCAGGATGAGGTAGACTCCCAAAGGGTGATGGTGAAAACATGTGACACTCTCCTGGGCTCCCCTACGGAGGCCGAGTGCTGGGACCTATCATGAAATGGACTCATTATCCACATGGTATTTTCTCAGGGAAGGAAGACTTCGCTCATGTTAGACCATTGGCCAGCGCCACTCCCAGGTTCAGATATTCCAAATAGGTAGTCAGTTCTCTGAGATTTAATATGCTTCTTCTCTGCTGTCTGTACTGTTTTGAGTATTTATATAAAAAATCAGTGATATATTTCCCTGCATTCTGACTTGAGAAGAGTTTAATCCAATTGAAGAAAGAAAGAAAGAAAAAAATCTCTGGTAATCAATCCTAATTGATTAGGGTTGTAGAAGGTAATTAACCCCTACTACCCTGGCAATTTGACTGTCCTCTTTTTTTTTTTTTTTAATCCTACTGGGCCAATCTCTGACACTTGCTTAAATGATGGAGGTGAAATTGATTTTCCATTTATGAAAATGTTTTTTAAAAAATACTCATTTTATTTTTTGAGGAGGGGAGGTAGTTAGGTTTCCTTATTTATATTTAGAGGAGATACTGGGGATTGATCCCAGGACCTTGTGTATCCTAAGCATGTGTTCACCACTGAGCTATACCCTGTCCCCTTAAAAAATACTTTAAATTAATATATATTAAATGTTTGAAATTCTAACAGCAGATTATATTAAGTAGGGTTAAACTCCTCCTCTAAAAACAGGCTTACTCTATTCATTGGCTTAGTAAGAATAACTAAACAATTCTATTTAGCATGTATTGAGTGCTTACTATGGACCAAACACTAAACACTTTGCATAAAAATCATATTTCATCTAATATTCCCAATAACCTATTGAGGTATGAATCATCATCTTAATTTTACAGATGAGCAAACTGCATTTTTGAATAATTGACCTAAATCACTTAGCTAATGAGTAACTGCCTGATTTGGAACCAGTTCTATCTAACTTCAGAGCTCCATTTATCTTTTGTGCAAAGAAAAATGTCAGGCTAGCCAAGCTGCTTCTTCAAATGAGCACACAGTCCAGATTACCAGTCCTAAGTCTGCGAGTCTTTACTGTGCATTGCGCTAATGAGACTCCTTCCTCATGGGCACAAGCCAGAACTTCTGTGTCCCTCAACAACAGAGGCACTTAATAACAATAGCGTGCCATGTCACAGCGCGTTATGTTTGTATTAAAATTCCTTTAATGGGTAGAGTTATGGGTATCACTGTTAGTTTTTGAGTTGCGCCTCAGGGTGGGACTAGACTAAGACTGTCAGGAGAGTATCAGCCTTACGTGTGGATGGACATAAAAATAGCCTGCAGTGCTCTGGAAACTGGCTGGCGCGAAAGCTTTCAGCCTTTCCACAGGTTCTGAAGCTAGTGCGTGAAAGCCTAGACAGCTTGACCTACTTTTTTTTTTTTTTTTTAAACCAAAGGCAGAGTAGAGTCTCTGTGTATCTCAACATGTAAATGATGGGGAAGAAAGGGAATTTGTCTATTGCTTGTATCTCTTGCTGATTGGACATCTTCCCGACAGAAGTGTTCAAAGGAAAAGTATGTCATCCTGTTCATTATGGTTAATGAGCAGTAAAAGCAAGGCGTTGGGGGCTCCGATCCCACAGGGCATCAGCAGAGAAATGGGGTTATAATTTTAGCAGTTACATGTGAAGTAAGGTCAGACAGCCTCCCGTGTAGGTTTCAGAGCTGAGTTCATTTGATCTTTAAGAGACAGGCATCACAGAGAAATTTCACATGCAGAAAGAACTCTAGCTCCTCCACCAATGCCTAGTTCACGAACAGTGGTGTTAATTGGTTATTTATACTTGGCTATTGTGAAGGGTGCTGGATAAATGAAGTGGCTGAAGCTGCATTTTGGTATTTAAAGTTGCAACATAGGTGTTGTTCATTGTTATGCAAGAAACATACTGCAACCATCAGCTTCATAATTAACTACCTTTCCAGTGAACTTTCTTTTCAGTACAGTATTTCTATTATTTAACTGCTCTTTTTTTAATGTAGTTTTTTTTTTGGATTATTCTAAATGTCTAGACATAAACTGGATTCGATAGATTGGTGACGCATAGAATTGGGTCTGCAAGGCCATAATATTTTATGACAGGCTCTTCAGAGGAAGTTGAATTTTATCTACTGTCCTACCTATTTACTTTCCAGAAAAAGACCATATTTTTAATAAATTTTATTTTCTTAGATCATAAAAGTACTTATTGAAAAATTTAAATACAATAATGAGAATAGAAAGTTAAAAACTGATATTACCAACACTTTTTCTGCAGCATCTAAAATTCTGATCATTCATTTTATGTGCATAAATATACGTATCTTTTCTTTTTTGGGTATGTGTAAATAGTTGTATATACTGACACACTTGAACATTCTTTAAAAAGACAAAATGTTTTCATATGATACATACTATTCTGCGACTTGCTTGTCTTATTTAACATATTTTGGACATCTTTCAACTTTAGAGCACATACTCACATTTACTTTATAAGATCCTATTGCACATATATACTGTAATTTGGCACACCATTCCCCAATGGTGGATATTTTATTTAATTGTTTCAGAATTTTTAGTATTACAAACTAATAAAATTTTTAATCTTTTAAAAATAATATTTTATATATATGAACACATTTTTTCAGGAAGATAAATTCCTATAGGCAGAACCACTGCGTTTATTGCAAAGTTGTCCTTCAAGGAAATTGTACTGTTGAACCCTTCCACCAACCAGTATGTAAAGATATCACAGTCTGGGGTGCTTTAATATAAAGACAAACTGGCCTTATTATTTCTTAAGACATTGTGCTCCATAGAATGATTTTCCTCTCTGGCCTATTTGATTTGAATGTGTTTATATTTTAATAATTACACTGGTTTGGAGGTGATCCCAAACCAGGGTTAGCTTCGGTCACCATTTTTCTCATATTCTTGCAGCATTCACAGAATAGCAGTCTGCTGAGGAAGGTAGGTGACAAGTTCGGGCATGCTGTGGCTCTTTTTAGGAAAGGAGCAGCTACAGAGTTTTCTGGGATGAGCCAGGCAGGCGAAAGGTTTAAGTCCCAGTGGGAGGCAGTACTTGTTTTGGAGTCTGCCTTGTATTTTTCACCTTCTACACACTTTATAATTCTTAATTTTGCCCCTAGTCACTTCTTATTTTGATCATGCAGTCCCCAGGAATTGTGCAACAGCAGTGGAACGTGACAGGCTTTTAAATGTATTAATATTGTCAGCATTATTGTGGTTAATCTTAATATAGCAAACAGAGTAACAACAGATGTGTTCTGCTATTAAGCATTTAGGAAGGCATAGATGTCTCAGCTCTTGATAGCCCATTTAAGCAACAAAGTTCTCCAGCTCAGAGTGCAGATTCCATCAAGGGACTAGCTCATATGTTGTGTGGCATTTGATGATGGCTAAGATTAAATTGAAAGGAAGTAAGATGTTCAGAAGGGGGGAAAAATGATGTAGCTATTGAAGTTTTTCAAATTCTACATGTGATTTTTTTTTCCACTATAGTCTTATTGCATCCATTGTGAGTAAATCATAGCTGATAGAACCACATTTAAAATTTCAGAACATTTCTGTTAGCTTGCCAGTTTTTTTTTTATTAGTAACACATGAATATAATTTAGACGTGTGAAATAGAACAAAAATGATAGTTTTTCTCTGAACTTTTGAAGTTCTTTCCAAGGTGCTACCACCTTGAGTTTTACTAATGAAAGGTAAAATTAAAATATGTAATTGTGGAGTTTAATAGGCACTAAGAATATTTGATAATGCCACGGCTGTCTATATATCATATTCGCTAACATATTTAATAGCAGAGCAGATGCATCTTACTACTGTAACACATGGTACTGAGCAGCAGGGCGTCCCATTTGACAAGTCAGTTTTTATTTTATTTCTTTATCCCAGAACCTTGTCTAATAATCTCAGATTTCAGTATGTTTTGAATTGTTAGGCAGCAAGCAGATAAGAGGGCTTCTATTCTCTGCTGCTTGTTTCTAACAGGTTGTTTGGCTTCAAGATACAAAGCCCATTAGACTCTAAAATAAAATAACTGGGTAAGACTGGGGAGAACTCTCAACATACCTAATTACATAATAAAATACATATATCCAATACAAAATGGGCAGAGTGCCATCTTCAAGGAAGCTCTGTGCGTCATGTGGTAATTTCAAATTAGTAAGAAAATTCTAGCAACCAGCCTCTCAGTAAGTATTAGTTCCATAGCATGTTACTTACGTGTGAGGGTTTGTGTGCATGCCTTCTGGTTGTCTCACTTAACTAGCAATAACGTTTGTCAGAAACACCGAAGAGAAATTGGGGTTGTTTGGTGTTGCAAGATTTGCTCCCTGAGGATCAATTCTTTGGAGCTTTCCATGAGCTATTTTATAATCCTTTAATTGCTGTGTCTGGGAAAAAAAAAACACACACACCTGATATACATTCTAAAGCTAAAATAAGATGACTGTCTAGATAATGTATTTTGAGATTCTCAGAAAGATATGAAATTGATGATGGTCCATTGGAAATGATTTTTACCAAACATCCTGTACAGCTATATTGAGAACTGAAAAAATGTCGATATATTTTATTGAACTTCAAGGATTTCTGTTGTGCTTTGTGTGGTGAGGGAATTATACTAACCTGGCATCTAAAATGTGAGAAACCTTGGTTCAAGTCGTATGGAATGTTCTAGTGCAATTATCAATTATCTGGACAAGACGAAACAACTGTAGTTTGAGGTGTGCTGCATCTTTGTGATCATCTCCTTTAACAAGGTTTGAATGATTGTTTACACAGTCACAGTGGTCGTCTTCTCTTGGCTTCTTGGTTGTTATGTACAGTCTGTCTTTGCCTTGACAGGTCACACTAAGTCAGTGAATCAGGGAAGTCCTTTAGGCTTACACAACTGGGAGTATTAATTTCTTTCCATTGCAAGAGTGAAGTGTTTCCCCACTTCAGCTTTCACTCGGTTGTAACGGTGAACCTCAGGGAGCCATGGCTGGAGAGTGGGGAAAGCTGATTATGCTTTCTGTTACTGTGACTCATAATTCACTATAGACCTGTCTGTAAGCAAATACTCTTTAATAGGTGGTCTCTTCACTATCTATCTTCTGGCCAGTAGGACTGAGAGATATATCTTTTAAGTAAGGTAATAGCATAAGAGATTTGCAAATTTTTTGTATAACCTCATTTTTCCATTTTCCATACACTAAGGTTACAGGCATCTCAATCGTCATTTTACACTTATTTGGTTGTTGAGAATAAGGAGTTCGTGTGTACCTAAACTCACAGGGCTTTTTCATCAAGTAGGCTTGATGACAAATTATTTTTGGTTAAATGCCCGTTTTCTGACTATCTAAGTTCTTATTTCCAAGTCCTGAGAAATAGTCTGGTGTACTCATCAGAATGTTATTCTCCCCCCAGATTGTTACATAGGAACGTGATATTTGAAATAGTGAAAACTATGTGGATAACATACAGATATAGTGTAGTCACAAAACAAATTTTCCTCTTCAGGGTAGTCTAGAGTTATTTAGATGGCTGGTGAGGTAGATGTAGCTATTTGTCTTCTGCTATGCCTGAATGAGAGATGGATCTAAGCCTGTTTGAATATAATGAAAGCAGGTCACCCTAATGTAAAATCCAAATGAATCTTTGAAACGTAACTATTCACTCAAGAGAAATAAAACCTGTAGCCACTGGAGTTTAGTGTATTTGGAACATCACAATGAAGCTGATACCTAGATTCATTGGCAAAGGAGAAGAAAAAAGTGGAAGGCTGTCGGTATGTCCTTCTTTAAAACTATTTTAAAAACATGGAAGAAAATTGAATATTTTTGGAAAGGGTACCCTTGCCTACTTTGTTTTGCATATAGGAAACAGGAATCTCTAGGCTTTTTTTAAATTGAGTTATAGTCAGTTTACAATGTTGTGTTAGTTTCTGGTGTACAGCACAATTTTCCAGTCATACATAAGTATGCATATATTCATTTTCATATTCTTTTTCACTGTGAACTACTACAAGATCTTCAATATATTTCCCTGTGCTATACAGTATAAACTTGTTTATCTCTTCTGTATATACCTGTTATTATCTACAAATCTTGAACTCTAGGCTTTTAAATTAATATCATCTGAAATGTCACCAGATACAAAATTGATGTTTTCAGATCCCTGATAAGTTTCAGGATCTGAAAAGGCAGTTCACTTAGAAGCTCACTTGTATTCTAACCTCAACCAAAAACTAAAGATGCCGTAAGTTTTAGAAAGTAAATGGGTTATACTACTTATAAGTTATGGCTTGCTGAAGGTTTAGATTCTGTCTCAGTCTCTAAGATAAACAAACGCCTTTATGCCCAAAACTTTGGGAGTGGAGAAGGCATAATGTGGTTGAGCATGAAGCATGCTGAAGGAATCTCGGATCTGAGAGAAGAAAGAACCTAAGGAGAATATAATCTAGTCTCTAGAGTAATGTGATGGGTATTATTCTGTTCTGAGAGAATCATCACATTTGATAGAGATGAAGGGGTTCAAACCCGGAGCAGGTAGATCTCTCACAAAGGATGTTTAGAGCTCATAGGCATCCAGTCCCCTGCCCCTCACCACCACCACTGCAGGAAGAAACTCTTTCTTTCATTCATGAATCATTTATTGAGGACCTTCAGGTGCGTGGAACCTTGTTAGTTTCTTGGGCTATAAATATGGTTAAGATATTGCATGTGCTTTTTTCTTTATAGTTGATATTATTTATAGCATTTTAGACTTTTTAAAAAAATTTTTATTGAGTTATAGTCAGTTTACAATGCTGTGTTAATTTCTGGTGTACAGTACAATACATGAATATACATGTATTCATTTTCATATTCTTTTTCACCATGAGCTATTACAAGATCTTGAATGTTTTTCCCTGTGCTATATAGTATAAACTTGTTTATCTATTCTATATATACCTGTAAGTATCTACAAATCTTGAACTCGTAGTCTGTCTCTTCTGACCCTCCTCCCCTCTGGCAACCACAAGTTTGTATTCTATGTCTGTGAGTCTGTTTCTATTTTATATTTAAGTTCATTTGTCTTCTTCTTCTTCTTCTTTTTTTTTAAGATTCCACATATGAGTAATATCATATGGTATTTTTCTTTCTCTTTCTGGCTTACTTCACTTAGAATGACATTCTCCAGGAACATCCATGTTGCTGCAAATGGCATTATGTTGTTTTTTATGGCTGAATAGTATTCCATTGTATAAACATACCACAACTTCTTTATCCAGTCATCTGTCAGTGGGCATTTAGGTTGTTTCCATGTCTTGGCCATTGTAAATAATGCTGCTATGAACATTAGGGTAAAGAAAGAATTTTAGAATAATGTAATAAAGAAATAATAGTAGCACAGACACTTACTGTGATAGCATAAAGGAAAGAATCCTGAATTTTACTTTGACACCTCAGGCAGAGGTACTATCAGGCATGTGTGAGTAAGGAATTTGCCAAACACACAAAAGTAAACAAAGGAAACCATCAGAAATAACATAAGCTAAGGTTAAATGCAGTATGGGGTGTCTTATTAACTGTGTGCCCTAGAATACAGCCCAGAGTAGGCATCACATAATGTTTTCTGAATGAATCATTAACTGGGAGGCATCTTGTCTGGTTTTTCAATAACAGTAACTTAGACTGAAAGGAAAGGAGCGAAAAGATTTTAACAAGTAAAGTATGCAAGGGATGCTATACTACAAAGAGACTTATGGTAATATCCTAAAGCTTTGCTGTAAGTGGCTTTCCGGAGAGACTCTGGGTTGTAAACATGACCTTCAACCAGACATTCTGGTGACAACAGCGCGGCACAGACCCCCACAGCAGGCAGTATTCTGTGCTATCCAAGAACATGTTCTTTGGGTCTCCGTTATTATTAGTTCTGTCCTTCTCTTCAGGCATTTCTGAAAGATGATCCAAATTGAGAGTTGAGCCCCTATTTATAAAAGGTTTTTGTATAATTACACGCCTAGGTAAAGAGTTTTAAAGCAGGGAGTTATAGATCCAGTCAGATAAATGAAGGTCTTGTGATTTTAGGGATTTTTTTTTTCTGGACTTTGTTTTTCTAATCACTCGGCTGCTCAGCTAACTCAGTGGGCACTGATTCAGGCATAAAAATGGTGTGGGATCATGCTTAATATTTTCCCCTAGTTCTGATATGCACATTGAGCATCCTATTCAAAGGTGATTTTTAAAGATGTGATTGAGAACAAATTTACTACTTTTTAAACAATCTTTGCTATTCTTACCATTATCAAAAATTGTTCTGAAAAGTTTATTTACCGTGGTGCCCATAATCAAGAATTGGCAGAAAAATTATGGAGAATATCAACAGTATTATGAAGCCCTGTTTATTATGCGATATCTGTTTAGCTACAATACGACTTTTGATCCCTTTCTAATTACCATATTAATCTTCACTAGTATCTGACCCAGGTGTTATACCAGGATTGCCAGGAACATGACAAGGTCGTTGCTTTTGACCCTCAAGACATTACTGAGAAGCTCTTTTTAGCTACATCTTTTGGAGGCTGCCAACACATAAAATAGATTCTGCCATAGATATTATTTTTACTTCCTAAAAATAATTACTGATAGTTCACAATCCGCTCTGTGTAATTTAGATCTTGCACTTTATTATGGACTTAAATTTTCGGCTTTGAGAACAGCAGGTGCGTGTTTGGCAACCCCCAAATCTGAAAGCCACTTTCTGAAATTATGTTAACACAGTGCCATTGATCATTAAAACCTGAGTTGAACTTTCCACTTTACAATAAATGCAGAAAATTAGTGTGGCAGTTCTGTTCCCGGAGGCTGTGGCTTCCTGAGCTCAGTAAAGCACTCTGATTTTTTTTTTTTAATTTTTAATGGCTTGAAAACAGAAAGCTAAAAACAAGAAAATGTCTTTTGGCATGTCTTAGTCTCTGTGCATTTTTTTTTAAATGTGGATCTTTATCTTCATTTGGTTTCATGAAAGTAAAAAGTGACTCAAAGAAATTAGTTCTGTTTTCAAATTGTAGTTTGTAAATAGTTAAGATCTATGGCTTAACACCTGTGAATACAACCTCCTCATGTAGCTTTAAAATCCACATTTTTAAACTGGACCAGTCTTCCCACACTATGTTGCTATTTCAGAGTAGAGAGTCCAGTTTGAATAAATACATTATACTATAATGTTTGTAAGTATCAAAACAGTAAAAATCTAGACACAATTTATGAATTCATTTTGCTGTAAAATACTTAATTTTCTTTCTGACATCATCTTCTCTCTGCTTCTACTCCCTCCATTTTTGGGGGACTTAGAAGCATATTTAATTTCTTTAAATACTTAACCAATTGAATCTGAAATTTAGCCACACTAGTTTGTGAAGTTAACTTCTATTTTTGATTATTGATAGGTGTTTTATTCTCTGAAAAGTTACCTAATATGATTAAATGATTCAAATTATAAATTTGGACAGATTTCCTGTCTCATGTACCTGATATTGTAACTTCTTTAAACCGTCTTATTTCTATAACTCTTGTTCCCAAAAAAGAGTTGTTTGTTGCACTTGCTTTTAGCACCTAAACCATATTAACTGGGGAACCAGAGGAGCTATGCTAATTATGTGCTTGCTAATTTTTTCTTTGGAGAACTTGCTTTACATAAGCCTTATGGTTGGCCAAGCTATAGCATGCATACTGTTGAACTGAAGAACAGGCAAAAATAATTGCCTGGTAAATTAAATTATTAATAATAATAATACCTTACTTCAGGTTGTCTTGATTCTCTACTACTATTATTATTAATATGATGATCTCATATTTTATAAACTGTTTTACAGTTCAAAGCATTTTACACATGATCTTTAAAACAACTCCAAAAGATGCAGAAGGCGGTATTTACTGGATATATTTCATGAATAGAACAGTAAGCCTAGAGAGTATAAATGACATGATTAGTAAGAGGATGAACAATGATCAAAATTCAGGTCTTCAATTTCAATTCAAATACTTTCCTACTACACTTTAATTTATAAATGTTTCTCCCCAATACTCTTTGGCTGAGATCCCCTTAGGTGCAGGGACACTTCATAGGGGTCATTTCAATATGAATGGAATTCATTTGTTGATCTTGAGAAAGCACATTGACCCATAACATATGATCTTTATTTATGACTAGTCCCTATTTTAAAATGCTATCTCCAGGGTGTAATAGAGGCATAAAATTCTTTGCTTTCAGAAATCCTTATAATAACCTTTTTTTTTCTTTTTTTTTTTTTATTACTAGACTAGAAAGAGGCCGACATCTTCAATCAGATAGGGAAACCGGAGCAGGATTGGGTTGGAGGTGGAATGTAAAGGGACAATAATGCCATTGTAGGAAAAAATAAAAGAAATACTCATCAGAAAAAATAATTCCAACTCTTGGCAGAATATAGAAAGGTAATTACATAAATGAAGTATTATCTGAAATGAATTTTGTGAGGGTTACAGCCACCTATCTCATTTCTGTGATATGTAGATTTCAGGTAATGCTCTGGCTGCAAATCAATGACCTGCCTGTATTAAAGTGAGCTGAGTCTTAGTTATGCTGCATATTTCATTTCACTCTGCATTGGTTTATAAAATCAGGTTAATAATACTTCCCTACCGACCCCACAGAATTATTCTGAGGATCAAATGAAACAGAGGATGTGAATGTACTTTGGAACATTAAAGCATTACAGTGCAACATAAAGCTATATGGTTTTCAAAACCCGTGCAAGGAAGCAGTTTCATTATCTTACAGTTAGACTTTGTGAAAATAAAAAGTAGGCTATGTCATGACTTTTGCATGAAATCTAGAGAGAGATGCCTAAGAAACTCTTAATAATCAGAAGAATTAAGCGTCTATAGTTAAAAGCTGGAATTGCCTAGAATAAAGATTGAATTCAAATTATCTTCAGTATACTATTTTATAGGTAGATAATGGATTTTTTCTAAACCTGCTGAAATTCCTGCTAATATTTTTGCTGTTGTTTGTATTCGTCATGTTAATGATGATAACAGTCTTTACCCAGGCAAAAATGGTCCAAATTATTTGATAATCTACCCATTAAATACTGAAAGTATGGAAAATAAAGTTGCAGACTGGGTTGGAAAGAGCTGAAAAGATTCAGTCTTAGAGATCTGCTGTTCTGTTTCTTATGCAAGCCGCTTGAAAAAGTTAGACATGTATGCTCAAGATTGTCCCATTTAGGGACAAAAATACTATGCTTGAGAATAGTCGTACTCATAGTGAGAGATGCTCTAGTTCTTCTTAAAGGGCCTTGTCCTTTCCCTGGCCTGATGGAAATTATCTAATATCCTTAAAATACAGAGCATATTGTTATTCAGTTTTGTAAATGAGGTGAGTATTGGTGTTGTGACTCATGTGTGAGAATCTCAAGCTGGGATGAAGCGTCAAATCCAAAACATCAGATTCACAGCTATAAAAATGAAGGCCTGCCTTTGAGTTTAATACAAAATAAACAGCAAACAAATAAGCTTTTACACCTTAGTAATCGGCATAAAGTTAATATAGGTCAGTAGTGTTGTGAGGTTACCAAGTAAAACTGATCAATTTTAGGAGGCAGTATCTTTATTATAACTTTAATTGGTGTTTCTCAAACTGGAGTCAGCAGGGATATCCTTGGAGTTTGGAATTTCTCACGACTGAGGACTCCTTTCCTATGATAAAGATTTGGAAGTGGCCCCCATCTGACTCTTGCACAGATACTGATTCACATTTGGCTTTTATTTGCCCCTGGAGATACATATCATGCCAGCATGCTGAAAAGTTAAAGGGACAGGGTGGTGTTGGCAAAGCCATTTCATTCTGCCTCCCTACTTCTTCTTTTCCAGATTATCTGTGTAGCTTATTTTTGTCTCCTAAGAATACTCTTGTTCCTTTGCTTCCTCCACTTCAATAAAGGAATTACAGGCACCCAACACCACCCTCCACTTCTTCGTCCAGTTTTGATACTAAAGACATACATACATGACAAAATTTGCCATTTATTCAAGTAACAGTTATTTTCTGAGAACCTTTAAGTTTCGACACCTTCATGGGGACTGGGTATAAAACAGAGCGCACAGCAGACAAAAATCCGTGCCTTCAAAGAACTCTGGTAGGGTCACACACAGCCTTCAAAATAAACTGTTTAGCTAAAGGGGAATAGTAATGCAATGAGTGAAATAATCTTCAGGATAAAAGTGCTGATATGATCTTTTCTAGGCAAACTCATTTATTTCTTTGCAAATTCGAGGTGTATTTTGATCACTAGTTGGAAGTTCTTGTTGATTTTCTGCTTTCCTTCTGAGACTTTCTGTGCCATTTATAATGAAGTT